TTTTTTTTTTTTTTTCTTCAGTAAATGTTTTTATATGGCATTGGGTTTCTCTGTGGTATTGTATAATAAGGTTCTTTGGAAATTTACAGCTTTCACCTTGATTAATGATTAAAAGTTGTCAGAGCCATTCTAAAAAAAGTAAGTTTGGCCTGAAGTGAGAATATTTCGTTGTGATCTCCCTTGGTAAATAAATGGTGCACTCCTGTGTCCTAAAGGTGCAAGGTCTTTTACAGATGGCAACTAGAGCAACTTTATGAGAATAAGCTGCTCTTAACTTTGATATATGCATAATATCCAAGCCTTTGGGGCGTGCTGTGGAAACGCAGAAGACAAAATACTAGTTGAGGGCAAGCTCCATTCTTTGGGAAGGATTGTTTCCATGGACCTTTGAAAAATGTGCATAGACTTTGAGTTTAATGGGCTGTTTCCTCCTTCCCTAAAAAACTGAATGACGGGAAATTATGTTGCAGCGATACTTTTATTTTTCCTTTTTTTACCTCTTGGTATAACTTCAGAATCTGTCACCAGAGAAGCTTGTGTGCTTGGTGTAACTCTGGTGTCCGAATGAAACAGATCTGTGTAAAGGGATAGAATGGGGTCTCAGTGCTGGTGTGATCTGAAATCCTATAAAAACCCCATTTATGATTCCTTGTTGCTTCTGTAAGGTCATAGTTTTCAGTATTATTTGTGGGGGTTAACATGGGAGGTTTTTGGTGCTCTTCATGTCTAGTATTTTAAAATATGATGAGATCTGCCTATATGCATAATAGTGAGACGACAGAGCTAAACCATGATTTAATTGCATCAAATTGGTGTAATGTACTGATAGTACACGTCTGTTGGGCAGTTCCCTCTTGTTTTTGGACGTAAGATTGGTGCATCTGCATGGCAATGCCTGGTGCAGGCTTAACAGGCTGGGTCAGCCCAGGCTCGGGAAACCTGGGGAATTTTCAGGTGTGCTGAAAAAACCTGTGTCGATAATTTGGGCTGGTCTGGTCGCTATTTTTGAGAGTGCTGCAGTGGAACAGAGTATTAAATGGTGTGGTATTAGAACCATCTGATCTTGGATTCCTTTTGGGAGGACACATAGTGGTATGGATGATAAGTTGGGTGAGCTGTATTCGGTGTCTGACTACGGTTTCTAATTCTGCTTGACATGAGCTATGAAACTTGTTATCACAGAATCACAGAATGGTTTGGGTTGGAAGGGACCTTCAAAGATCATCTAGTCCAACTCCCCTGCCGTGGGCAGGGACATTTTCACTAGATCAGGTTGCTCAGAGCCCTGTCCAACCTGACCTTGAACACTTCCAGTGATGAGGTATCCACACCTCTGGGCAAATCATTCCAGTGTCTCACCACCCTATTTGTAAAGAGTTTTCTCCTTGTATCCAATCTAAATCTATCCTCTTTCAGTTTAAAACTGTTGCCCCTTGTTCTGTCACTATAGGGCCTGGGAAAAATTCTCTCTCCACCTTTCTTGTAAGCCCTCTTCAAGTACTGTAGTAAGGTCTCCCCAGAGCCTTTTCTTCTCCAGAATGAACAACCCCAGCTCTCTCAGCCTTTCTTCATAGGAAAGGTGCTCCAGCCCTCTGATCATTTTTGTGCCCCTCTTCTGGACCCACTGCCACAGGTCTGTGTCTTTCCCATGCTGAGAACCCCAGAGCTGGACACAGGACTCACCAGAGCAGAGCAGGGGGGCAGAATCCCCTCCCTCAAGCTGCTGGCCATGCTGCTTTGGATGCAGGCAGGATAGAGATCCGTTGTCTTGCAGATAAGTGAAAGGTAGTTGCCTGTATACATAGCTGTCGATAACAGTGGGCTGAAGTTACCCCGGCTGATGAAAATGAACCAGGAACACGTGTGCTCTGTAGATGCAGAGCTTTCATAAATAGGAAGGACTCTTATGAAGCTAACGCGAGGGCTTTGACCTCAAAATTTTTCAGGTGAAATTGATTTTAAAATAGGTATAGTTGAGATTCTAGGGACATCAGAATGAGGGAGAGGGGGTTTACACATTTTGTGTGGATGAAGCTGCCTGGCTTACTTCTCCCATTCACGTGGTCAGTGTTTGGGAGTTTAGAAAGCTCAATCTACACGAGCCATTTCAGCCAAACCAAAGAAGGCAAAGTCTGACTTTCTCCATAGTTGTAAGTTGTATAAAGTATTTTAAAAAATACATCTTAAGATTTGGGGCTTTAAGAATTAATCAGTTTATTATCAGACTTGGATTGCCAGATAATTATCTGAGTTGTATTATGAGGCCTCACCTCCAGTACTGTGTGCTGTTTTGGGCTCCACAATGTGAGAAGGATATAGAATACCGGAATGTGTCCAAAGGAGGCAGCAGAAGTGGTGAAAGGATAAAGGGCAAGACTTAAGAGGAGCAGCTGAGGATACTCACAGAATCGTTTAGGTTGGAAAAGACCTTTAAGATCATCAAGTCCAACCGTTAACCAAACCCTGTCATCCCACCACTAACCATGTCCATAGTTGGTTTGTTCAGCTTAGAGAAGTGACAGGAGGTGACCTCATTGCTGCCCGCAGCGTCATCACGAGGGGGAGCGGCGAGGGAGGTGCTGGTGTCTTTTTCTCTCTGCTGATAGGAGGTGAGGTGATGGATTAAAGCTGTGTCAGGGGAGGTTAGGATTGGCTATTAGGAAAAATTCTCCACTGAGAGGGTGGTCGTGCCCTGGAACAAGCTCCCCAGGGAAGCGGTCATGGCCCCAAGCCGGTTGGTTCCTCAAGTGTTTGGACGATGCTCTTAGATATCTGGTTTAACCTTTAGGTTGTCCTGTGTGGAGTCTGAAGTTGCACTCGATGATCCTCATGGGTCCCTTCCAACATGGGATATTCTTTGGTTCTGCAATTCTACTGTAATTACTCATTTAAAAAACCCTAAAAGTGATGTGAAAAGAAGATAATAAACTATACTGGAGAAAAGATGAAATGTAAATCTAGAATGAGTCACGTGCAGGTGGAAATCTCTGTCAATGCAGAGCTCTACTGAGATTGTTGATTCTGGGGATGTTCTCCAGTATCCTGCTTCTGTGTCGTGGTTTCAGGTTCTCTTTTAGACCTCCTTGACAGAACAGCTTTTGCAGAGAAACATGCTGTAGAAATGTTTAACAACATTGGAAGCGTTTTTCGGGAAGGCTATATATAGATTTCAAGTGTCTCTTGGTAGGTTGCTGGTAAGGCCTAGGAAGGGATGCTGGAAGCAGCCAAGGAACCTAAAAATACTCCAATTTGTTTTAGAATTCATGTCTTGGAATAGATCCATGCTTCCTTTTTTTATCTTTCTGCAGCTGATACCTAATGTCACCCTGAGAGATCATTTGGACTCGACAATCTTTCCATTTACTTTTTATATATCTATGTATATATGTATATATGCGTGTGTATACACAAATGTATGTATGGATAATGTATATAAAAACCCCTGGAATGTCAAGTGTCTTAATGACACCGGTCTGTAATGTGTCAAGATCAAAAAAAAAGATAATTGTTCATTCGTCACTGGGCAGTTATATAAGCAACACAGAGCAAAATAACTTCAGGTAAAATCCTGGTCTTCATCTGTTTGGGGAGGGCCAGCTGTGCACGTGGCTACGAGGTTTGCAGTGAGAATGAATGATTTGTGGCCTCTTACAAGAGCGTGATTTCACATGTTACTTATAGGATATATAAATAATAATACAAATAATATATAAGCATCTAAATAAATATGCAAATATAATAATAATAATGATGTAAAATATATAGAGAGACGATTGCTAACAACTGGTCCCAAACATTTTTATTTTTATCACAGAAATGTGCAATAGATCTAAAAAATGCTCTCCTGTCCACACGCGAAACCAGAGCGCTTTCCAGTTGTGTGATTTTTGTGATGGGATGTGCAGGAGTTTCCTTGCAGGGGGAGGGCGTGTGGAGGTTGTGATATTTCTGTACTTAATATTAAAAATTAATATAAAAATCTGGGGAGTGACAGAGGGATCTAAGAAATTATTTTTTTATTTTTAAATTGAAAATAAAAATTTCATTTTTGTAGCTCCATCCTGAACGATAGTTTCTCTGTGCAGAGCTCAGGATAATGATGTATACATTTCAGTCTTGAACTAAAATAATCTCTTCCAAAGCAAAAGCTCGCTGCATTGTTTTAGTTCAACGTTTGTAAAGCAGTGTTTGTGCTTATCTCTCAGATAAGTATCAGTGAATATTTTGCAGTTCTAAAGAATTAATAACATTAATACAGATACTCTTGAAAGGATACATAGTAGAAAAACAAAAATCTTAGTACTCTGATATTTATTATGAGAGTAAATTGTTCTGAGACCCCTTTAAATGCTGCTTTTGAGTCTTTATGCAGTACCTCAAGAGAAGGAATAACTTCACTGTGTTGGTTACAGAAAACTGACTACAAATTTTTTATTAGAACAAGTCATTTCTTTGGAATACATCATGTGAGAGCATTTTCTTTGTAAATGGTGCGTGGAGTAGTGGAATGGATGAATTTGAATAATAATTGTTCTTCCACTTTTCTCAGCAGAAGCATTCAGTTACGGAACTGTGCATTGAAGTTTTTTTACGATACGTATAAATATTTACCAGGGAGAGCTGGAAAAGATCTGCTAGGACCCTGAATCTGTCCTCCTGCCAGGAGAGGGCTGTTCTCCACGCCATATGTTCTGACATGTTGTCAACTGTTTGTGTACATTATGCAGCAGTTGCTAAACAGTTGGTACTGTTTTCCTTTAAGAATGTGCCACTAGGTTCAGGACTGCACTGCATACCCTATAAAAAAAGGAAAAAAAAAAAAATTCCCCCACCCCCTGCCAAATGTAAATGCAGCTTGTTCAGCAGCAGCCTGAAGCCCGGCATTGTTTGCTATCGGAAGTGTGAGCTAAAGGGACAGACATTCCCCCTGCTCAGCGGGAGCGCAGAGCTGCGTTTTGCCCTTGTTGCATTATTAATGGCACAATGTTTTTATGTTGCAGATGGCTAAGAGCTAGCAAGGCATATTCAAGACCATGATGGCTCAGTTTCCCACAACCATGAATGGTGAGTAGCTCCGGTCGGTTTGTTTAGGTAGGGGTGGAAGCATTTGTCTTTATTATTTTATTATTGCTTTTTTTTGTAAATGCTGATTTTTAGTACCTGCAGCAGCGTTATGGTCAGTTTGCTGCAGATTGCTTCCTGTAGCCTAACTTGTACTGTAAGACGGGGAGAAATTCTGTAGAGGCATTACTGCAGTGTAATCTGGAGTACAGATACGCCTGGAGCATCTAGTAATCTCAGATCATTTAAAGGGTTGAGGAATGTGAGACTTGTAGCGTGAATACTGTCTGACTTCAAGTGGGGAATATGCTAAGTAATAGTTGATTAAACTTGCATACCTTTTCTGTTACATAATTCGGCACAAAATGCATTTCGTTACAATATATTATGCTATTTATTTTAAACCAAAATATTCAAATGTGTTAGGCAGTTTGCTACACTGACGAATATAATCAGTCTTTCTCAAAAAAAATGTTAAGAATTCTCCTCTGGATTCTGTGCCCCATCTACTGTAGAAACTTTTAGATTTGTTTCTTGGTGATTTCCTTTCAAAGGCATATGAGAGTTGAAACCTTAAAATTGTTTGTGCATGTATGTATGTATTATTTCTAGAGCAAGCTTATTTGTGAAGACACAATTTGCAAATACCTGCTGAGAAATTTGATGTTTACATGTTGTTTACAGAGCTGGCCAAAATAAAAAGACAACTATAGGAACAATGCTTTGCACTTGAGATATCCCAGATATGGAGTATTCCTCCAGATAAAAATAGGGAAACAGGCAGAAGAAAAAGTATTTCTTATCTCATTTATCTGTGAAGGTTATTGTATTGCAGGACTGGGAGGTCTTTCTTTAACTGATTTAGAAAATCATCACTGCTGAGATAAATTGGGTGAGTAAAGGGAAGTGTTTTTTTGCAGAAGAACATCCAGATTTCAAATTGAAGCTCTGTTTTACACATCTGTTTCACATGTGCCTGAAACATTGTGTGAAAAAATAATGGATGTGATCAACACTTCTTTTTTTTTTTTTATACAGTCAGCTGCAGTTTGTTCCAGACTTTGTTTCGCAGGCTTAACAATACAAGAGAAGTAAAAGGAATCAATATATTATATATAATAGGGAAAAACCTAAACACTAGATTTTTTTCCACTTTCTGGGACAAAGCAGAAAGGCATATTTTTTTTTTTTTAATTCCCACATGCTTTTTGCTCCTCAGTTTAAAATAAACAAACAGAAGCTCTCTTCAGGGAGAATACAGATTTATGATCTGGGCTGTCTCCTTGGTTGATTTATGCATAAACTATTTGGTGTCTTTTTGGTTTGGCCTTTTACTCCTTGGTTCTGTTGGAGGATTGCAAGGTATATTGACAGCATTGAGCATGTGCATGACTTGATCTCAGAAGTCCTGGTTTGGGAGAGCGGTCCTTTCCTTGATCTGAAATCCCTTGGGCAGTACTGTCTGCCACTCTCAAAAGGAACAATGCCACAAGATGCAGCCTTTCCCCTCGCAGAATTTTACTATGTATCGAAAAACATAGTAAAAGAACGCAAGTAAGAGAGATACCAGGCAATAATTAAACTATTGCTTCTCACGGAATATTGTGTGTAGTTTTGCAGTCATATTTCTTGTCAGAATTTATTAAATTTCAAACAGGTGGGGAAAAAAAAAAGAGTAGTTTTAATGTGATTTCTGGATAAATACTGAGCAACCTTTGCTGTTGAAATTGTTCTCTAATCTGTGTTCCTATTCCCTGCTACTTACTACTGCTGTTGTTTGCATTCAAAGTAGATCACCCTGCGTTTACCACTCGTTGCTCAGTGGAAACCTCTAATTATGTTGTTAGACCTTGGTAGTGACTTCAAGTATGGGATGAAGAATGAGGTTATGCATGAGACAACTAAACCTTTAGGCATTGCTGCAGCCTGAGAGCAGTGGCCACCTGTCACACCTTTGTATTAGCAGAGCGTTGACCCTTGCCTTTTGTATCCTACTAGGGCAGAATGGTGTTTTTCTTCTGGGGGGAAAAAACCTCTTATTCTTATGAAGGTACAATATACTTAGCTTTTGGTTCATTAGTAGTGTAAGGCATGAAGTAGTTTCTGTTTCAGGATTATTTTTGGCATTCAGCATTACAGAAAAGTGAGTAGATAGTGAGTGTGTACAAGTGCGTGATTATATGACACAGGGTGACAACGAGTCTAAGAACTGCAGCGCCCAAATGACAAAGCACGATACTCGGATAGTCTCAGACAAATGCAAGCAGAAGATGCTACAACACTTTATTTACCAATGTAAGCAGAGAAAGGGAAGTCTACGCAGGACCTTAAGAAGAAAGGGTAACTGAGTCGTGTGCTTGAGTTCCAGTTGAGAGACTCCACTTCTTTGAGGGCACCTTGAGCTGTTACTCAGAATATACCTCCACGGGAGCAGGCTCCCAAGACTGTCCAGCCTCAGCATGTGGCTGATGGTCAAACTGCATGTTATACTGAGAACTGGCATACTCTTTTTTAATTATGTGGCCACGTGTAAACTTCAGCTTGTTGAGGCGTTGTGTACTCAGGGGCACATGCTCTTGCTAGACTGCTTGCCTTTCTTCTCTAAAGTCATGAAAGGACGCAGTGAGCAGAAAGGAGTTCCCTTTGACTCTCCATTTCTGTCCAAGGTGACCTTTGTGGATGCCTTACTGACAGGCTGGTAATTCAAAGAGGAAAAGCAGGACTGAAAAAGTGCATCTTGATTTTTCTGGAACTCAGGGCAGATCTGCCAGTTTTTACGAATTTATCTCCCATGCAAAATGTAAAGGTTGTGATGACATTTTGCATGAACAGTCAAGGCTGAGTAACGTGTTTCTTCGTATGTAGAAAGGCTGCCAATTACAAACTATACATACAGCACCAGATGGGTAACAGATACTTATCTCTGTGGAGTCCAGTTCTATCAAAGAGCCACTCCAGGCTTATCCATCTCCCCAGTCCACAAATGAGATCAAGGATTCCCTACTGAGGATTTAGTTTTATCCTGTAACTGTCTGAATATTGATCATTATCTCTGTGAAAATGATAAAACAAGCGCAGATTCTGGTAATTTATTCTCCTTACATACCGTTCTCTATCTGGACAAAGCTTTCTTAGGAATTCATCCCAAGTCTCGCAAAACATTTTGGAAATGGCATTTAGTGACACTAAATAACAAGTACCTTCAACAGTTGTATTTCTAAAGAAGCAGTTAAGATACTAACCACAAATGACAGTTAAAAGGATAAAGGCTTTAATAGGTTAAAATGCGCTTCCACTTAATTTATCCCTGTGATTGCTGTCTCTATCGCAGAGCAGGAAGAAGTAGCCTTCTCTGCCACGGGATGCCTTCTTTACAGCTTGCAAGATATTGCTGTTCTCCTCACTCCCCTTCCGTAGGCTAGATTTTTTTCAGGGTTTAATATCTATGCTGATGCTGGATCTTGGCTTGGAGAGATTTAATCTTGACGGTCCAGCCGGAACAAGGAAAACAGTATTTGCTGATCAGTATCTTTCACATTGTTTCTTTAAGTACCATTGGAATTTTGGGACTGTGCTTTTTTTGTTTATGTTTTTATTTGTCCTTCCTTTTCCCTCCTACCACCTGTTTCCTTTTGATATAATTTTTTGTGGTCCAGCAGGAAAATACCTCTGATAAACTGAGGTGTAAAAAGTAATACTCATAACTCATTTCGCATGCTTCTCAACCTTCGTAAGTCAAACTGGACTTTATGCTGCTGTGAATAGAATTAAGTTTTGTGTCCCTGCACTTAGGTGTGGTGGAGACTAGGGTAGACATGAATGGGTTGAGTGAGGTCAAGGGTAAAACAGTCACTGGTGCTAAGTTCTGCTGCATCTTCTCTGCTAAAATTAGTCTGTCTCAAGATCAGTGGTCTGAAGTTTTTTGAATTAGGCGGAACCCTGGTCATCACAGTGCAATTAAAAACTACTTGAATGCAACCTGACTCTTAACCTTGTGTGCAGCATAGATACGGAAACTGGGGACTTGGATATCAACAAGTGTAGATAAAGATACTAAGCTGAATTAGACCTTGCAAAGAAAGTATCAGAACTTGTTCTCCTATCTAAAAGAAGGAAGAAGAAAGAAATTCTAAGACAAGGACAAATATTTTCGGTGTCCTTACTTATAAATTAATTTTTCCTTTCACTTTTCAGTGAGGACAGTAGCGTCAGTTGATACAGAGCAAAATTCATATGCTCAAGTCAGAGGGGCTTATAGCTTCCACTGTCACACCCTGCAAAAAATTTTATTTCCAATTGTGTGTGCCATATTGTTATATGTTTCCTTTAGTCCTAACAAGCCAGAAGTAGCGCTATAGGATTGTGGGATACAAAGTGTCTTAGTCATATTTAATTATGAGGATAGTATGATTCAGATGGAAGATGTAAGAGGAAATTTTGGAAGGAAGAAATAATTAGGCGTGGAGGTAAATGTTAAATGGTAAATGGAACTAGGTTTTAACAAAGGAAGGTTGCACCTTATGCTTTCTTTAGTAACTGAATTTTGTAGACAAAGTGTAACATCCCATGTTTGGACTTCATTAGAGAAATAACTGTCTAAAATGGAGAGAAAATGCAAATTTTAAACTAGGATGTTGTAATAATGATATTCTTTATGGATTTTTATCTTGAGACCAATCTTAGTTGTTATTACTTATGGCAACATCATCAGTAAAAAAGCAAATGTATGCTGGTTAAATTGGTTGATGACACAAATTTAGGAGTAATTTTCCAGCCAGAATTACACAGTATGAACTGCATATCATTGGTTAAATTTCATCACATTTATGTTGTGCTGTCTTCAAGTAGCTTTTTAGTCATACTATTATGGGCTAGAAGAATTTTTGCTGTATGCTGGGAACTCAGCAGTTGGCCATGACTAAGGAGGAAGACAACTGGATGTATTAGATGATCACGTAATAATTACGTGATTTGAGGGAAAGGAAATGCATCCTAAAATGTGG